CATTATTTTGCAAATATGTATTTTGTTTGAAAAACATCTCATGGTTTTCAAATCGAAAAATAAACAATTTATTTTTCGGATATGTGAAATTCTAAAATTTAACTCTTAAATTCACACTACACCACAATAGGCTTTTCGTAGCTGACAAAAAACGCTATTAATCACTATCAATAGCGCTTTTTAGAGCACTAGGACAGCGGACGCTATTATAGGTCCTAAGAAAACATAGCGTTTCAGGAGAGTTATAGAAAGCGCTATAAAATTGAAGCATTATAGCGTGTAAGAAAAGTTATTTTCATCCTCTTACAGCTCTTTAGCATAGCTACGATACAGATTAATAACTTTTTTTCCTTGTTATGTTTATACTGTTGTAACTTTTTAAAATTATTATTGATATCCTTTTGAATTCATTCAAATAAATGGTAATTCCGAGATATGTGATATATCTAAATAGAAACATTCAAATTAAAACATAAAAACATTCAATGTAATAATTGTTATCAGTATCTACAAAGTTGGCAATAAGATATTTACAACACAAGTCACACCATTTGTCCACAATTTTAACATTAAAAACAAGTAAAGAATACAGAGAAATAGCTAGAGATATCAAAATATCCAAAATGTCTAGTCAAATGAAATGGTTAAGTAAATAATCCATCTTGACAAAATGCTCCAACAAAAAAGTCATCTCCTCCAAGATAGCAACTATTAACCTGTCACAAAATTAGTATAATTAATTAATTAAAACATATAAATTCATTACCTAATGAAGCACAAAAAGAAAAAACCAGATAAACCATACAATCCTCATGGCTTACCTTCTGAATAGTTCACCTCCTCCCCACCCACCCACCCACCCGTTTGACACACACACAAAGCTTACCTTTTGAATCAAAAGACTTTGATGCCACATCAATCCTCATGTTTTTAGGTTTAAAGAAACCAAGGACATATTTTATCAGTTCCTCATCCCACATATAGTCACAAACATGATATTCTTTGCAGGATAATGTAGTAAACTCTCTGCAACAAAAATATTTGATGATCATTGTTGACTAAATGAGTGTATCAATATCCCAAAAATTTATATTTACATGAAATTAAGATAATGGGAGTAAATCCGACGCTTCATGTGCCTAAGACATGTCTAGACGTCTAATCACTAAGGAAATAGCACAATCAACAATGATATGCTAGAAGATTCTCAATGTCGGACTATATGTTATTCAATAAATTTCTCCAAATCTAGAAAGCAAAGGAAACCGAGTCTGATTACTCTTAAAAGGATAAAACCAGACAAACAATCACCAAATCAGAAAATTCATATCACTATTCTCTAGTATCTCAAAAAATATAACAAACATAATACCTTTTTCAACCCGGATTGCTGTGAAGCAACACAAAAGTGTAAGCTTTCAGGTAGAGAAAGAATTCGAAGATGAGTTCATTTTCTCAGTAATGCAAGACATGAGAATTTGGCCATGCTGCTGGGATCATGTTCTGAAAGGAACAATAAGCTTCTTGTTTATGAATTTGTATGCAATCGTTCATTGGCCCAACACCTATCAAGTAAGAGTCAAAAATAAGAAAGTTAAAGTTTAGGAGTACTGCTACCGTATATAAGAAGAGGAATATACCAGAAGAGCTTTCTTCTTTTTGGAATGGGAATTTACAATGAGATCTCTTGAAAGAGCAGAAACATCTAAAATTCCAACAAGTTACTGGGATTTTTATCAACTATCGAGAGGTTTATAGGTAAAGGAAGTTTAGCTGAGCAAAGATGGTCCACTAAATAAGATATTAGTCCACTCAAATAAGCAAAAAACATGGTCTAAACAAACACATGATCTGTATTTTTGGCAATTATATTACAAATCATGTTTTACAAAAACATGCAATGAACACTTACATAGTAGGCATTTTAGACATATAAGACCACTATACATTTCAACAAACACATGATATGCATTTTAAGCAAGTTTAAAGCATACATAATGCTTATTCAAAGATTAAATCAACAAGACAGCTTCAGAATCAGTTTTTCACTTCAAAAACTCAGTCCAATATCAATAAATATATGCAAAAACATTTCAAATCCAATATATACTGACACTGGTGAAGGAAATAACGAACATGGTCTGAAACAATCTGAGAATCAGCGGCCTGCAAATGCACAAATCCTCATAATCATAAACGTAACAAATTAAAATAGCAAATACAGCTAAATCAAACAAGAAAATGATCATAAATTACAAAATTTACCCTTATTATAACATTGCCATGGACATGCCACGTCATTGACGATTACAACACATTTTCTCGCTTACAAATAAATGCAAAGAATCTCTTCTATCTGCTATCTAGACTAAAAATTTGAAATTTTACAAGCTATAATTCTAAAATGACGAGAATAAGTCCATAAAAAAAAAAAGCAACGTAATAAACTAGGAGAGATAAGGATTAAAACTTATCCAGAGTGACAGACGTAGACATTATTGGTGAGCTGAAAGAAAAAGTGAAAAACTTGTTGTTTGAAGATGTGGAATTGTTCGAAATTGACGAAAAATGAAGAGGAGAAAGAAAGTTGGGGTGATTTAGAGAGAGAAAGAGAAAGGAAATGAGGGGTTACCAGAGACGATCCAGATGAGGGAAACAACGAAGATGGAGAGCTAAAACAGAGCTACGGCCTTGCCCACTGAAAAATTTGACTTCCTAAAGGCCGAATTTGACGAAGAAATGAGCAGAACAAGCCTTCACGAATGCTTTTCAAGTAATGCTAATCACCCGGAATTTCGACTTAACAAAGATGAAAACAAAGAACCCAGAAAAATTAAATTTAGCAATACACAGAAAAATGAAAAAAAAAATAATAAAGATAAAAAATAAAAGAACCTTGAGGGCGTGCTTATAACAGTGAGACTTCCGGAGGTCCTTAGAAATCCGGTGAAGTTCTTATGAATACAAGAATACAAACAATTAGAAATTTGAACAAAAATAAAAATAGAATAAAAAACATCAATACATGGTTGAAGAGGAACCAAACGGCCAAATAAGTTACAGAACTAGAAATGTGAAAAAAGTCCCAAAGAAACCGAGCATACCTTGGTGTCTTTGAGGATATCACTAAAGTGGGTTTTCTTCTACAAATCTGTCGCTGCAAAACTTTGTACAAAAAAAATCTGTCATTTACAAATCTATCAGAAATAAAAATTTACTGACCTAGAGATTAGGGGGTTTCTTCTACAACTAAGAAATTTCAAAGAAAAAACAAAAATCTAACCAAAAGAATCGATCAATGGACGATTAAGGGAGAAAGAAGCCCAAAAAATCAAGGCATACCTTGGTATCTTCTAAAAAAACTGAAACTGGTATCTTCGAGAAAAACCTAAATGAATCGATCTGCACAGAGAAGAACAGGTGAAGAGAACATCAAAAGTTTACAAACCTAAACTTTAAATGAGGGGATGGAGTGATGCGCAATGAGATGGAATGATTATTGGACCGGTAGGCTCTTTTCTTAGCCGGGAAGTGGATTTTCTTCGAATGACTGAGGAAACAAAAAAAATCTGCCTTTTCTCATCAACAAAAATCAGTCTTTTCTCATCAAAATTTCCTAACTGGCAGCCCAAATCTCCTCCAACCACAAAAATTGTCTCTCTTTAATGAGGTCAGTCCGGCTGGTTAGGAAAACTACCATCCTTCGAATTCAAGAGCACTACACCTTTGGGAGCGAAAATGCAGAGAGAGAGAGAGGATTTCTCTCTGGGTAAACCTAGAGAACAGAAAGAGAAAGAGAGAGAAAGATTCGAACCTCCTTGAGGGAATCGATTGATGCGCAGACAGAGAGAGGATTTCTTCCCGTGAGATTCTTCCCGGCCGTGAGGATTTCTTCCCGTGAGATAGACTGGAAAATTAGGGCATTTGGGGGAAAGTTAGAAATTTGAGGGAACCTAACACTACCGGCTTTCAATTTCAGAATATAGCAGAGCAAATCCTGAGGAAACTTGGGGAAACTTAGGGAATTTTGGGGAAAGTGATCACAATATCGTATGGGAGAATGGTGTTGTTTCCCTTGGCCGGCCAAATGACTCTTCGACAGTGTGGGAGAATGAGAGGTTTCTTTTTTCTTTTTTTTTTCATTTCCCTGGTTCTTGTATAATGCGCGCATTTCAGAGCCAAAAAAAAAGAAGAAAGAAAGAAAGAGGGGAGTGAGTGAGCGGGAAAATTGGAAAATTTATTTTCAATGCCCGCCCAATGTAATTGTAATCTGTACATTTATATATTTTTAAATATATATAAAATAAATCAGTCAAAATGTCAATAAATTTTAATATATATGTATATATATTATAACTCTTTATAAACGCTATTATAGACTTTAGCAGTAACGTTTTTTGAGAAACGCTATAACTAACCGCTACAAAAAGCCCTTTTTCTTGTAGTGTCAATTTCACATGTAACATTATTTTGTAAATTATTTTTGCAACTTAAATCAATTTAATCATATTAAATCGATTTTAGCACGTGGTTCTTATTATATTTTATTTTTCTAAAACTCTTTTATAATAAATAAAATAAATAATAATAAATACGTGTGTATACATGACATGTTATAAAATATATGAGTAGGCGTAATATATCTATATGACATGTTATATGTATGGACATATAATATATAATTATCAACATAAAATATAAATATATGCAATCGGCTATTGAGATGGATTTGACCGGGTCCCATGGAAAATATAAATTACAACCAAATCGAATAAATAAATCATTATAATAATTATTTTCTTCCATTACATTAACGGGTCTTCGATTCTTGAATTCTTCATTCTTTGGCTTCGTTCTTCGTCTTCGGGTCGAGTTTCAACTTCTTCGGGGTCCGAAACTCTTCCAGAAAAATTTTGTACAGTTCGGGTTCAAAACCCATATGGGCCAATAGGTCTAAATAATTTTGACATTGGTTAAAAATAATTTACCCATAATTTCCTTCCAATAAGAAAATTACTAAATTATTTCAGCCAAACAAAATTATTTAATTTAATATACATAATTATAATTATAATTATTATCCAATAATAATTAATAATTATAACTCATATATATATTATATCGTATATATATAATAATGTATTTAATCGTTATAACCTTTTATAACATTTATATATATATATATATATAACTATTAAGTTACGCGGGTATGTTATTAACCGTGTAACCATGCGCGGGCATTAATGCCTAGAGAAGGCATCATAGGCCTTTGGCCCAAACAGCCATCATGGGACCATCATATGGTCCTCTTTCGCTATGCTTCCTTGTGGCCACTCAGTACATGCGTAAGTTGTGGTTCCAAACCACTGGTTTAGCGCAGACAGCGACAACACTAAGGAAAGCAAAACACAGTGCAGGGGCAGCGGGGTGTACGAGCATAGGCTGCTGTGAGGCAGCGGCAGGGCAGCAACTTGGCCGGCTCCATGGCTGGTCTTCCGGACTTCTTTTCATTTAAAATCAAAGCCCTAATTCTATCAAAATCTTAGAATTATAATAATTCTAATCCCGAATAAAATTACAAATAATTTAAAATTCACGAATATAACCGATCCATGGAACCATATAATTAACGATTAAATCCATCATCCATACATTCATCAACATGAATTAAATATAAACATCCATAAATACAAGTGCCTACCCATCACATACATACATAATTAAATATCGCATATTTAATATATTAATTTTGATTATCATATAATCGGCGCATAAATTAATATCGTCTATAGACCGCTCTGATACCAATTGTTCGTCTCCGAATCGAATTCGGTTGCGGAAGCGTGGCGGGGAGGCAGATCGTGTATAACAAAAATTTTCATAAAACCTTTGAGATACTCTATAGATTATATTAATTTATGCACGAATAAAATTTAATCTCATTAATTCTTTTATTAAGAACTCAATTAGAAAAAATACCTGGAGGCCGACTCGGATGATAACTTGAGTTCTTTGACCTTGAACAATCCTTGCTCCAAAGCTTTGTATTTAGAAAACTAATGTCTTCCACGTCAATTCCTAGAATCCACAAAGACGTGTGTGTGGGCACACATGAGACAAAACGGGTTATAATAAACACTCAAATTTCCACAAACATCAATGCATGCACGATGTATAAGGGAAATTCGGCCAACCCCATTCAAGTTAGGTTAAAAAATTGTCTCGCACAATTTTTCATCATATCTTATTTACAGAGTAGAAGTCAAACTTCTAGAAGGAATCAAATCTCTATCTCCTATTTGAATTTCGAACAAAAATTCTCTTTACCTCTATCCATTATGGCCGGCCATTCTAAGGGGATTTTATCCCAGTGTAGGCGCCAAAATCAGATAGGGAAGGAAGAGAAAAATCATCATTTATCCTGTAGTCCAATTTTGATTCAAATTCAAATTCGAATTTAAGTCAAACTTAAATTAATTTGAATTCTAAATTGAACAACTTATCAAATAAGTTTAAAATGATAAATTTAAATTATGTTCATGATTCGAATTTAAATAATCATATTATTTAAATAATAATTAATTCTCAATTAATTATTTTTCGAGTATTTAATTTTAGAATTTCGTAATTCTAAAATTCTCATTTTGCCCTATGTGTCTGGTAGAATTACTAGCACGACACGGGGACTTCTGGACCTATAATCCCGAGCTCCAATAAAATTAATAATCAATTAAATACTTTAATTAATTAATTAATTCTATTAATTCAAATAGTTACTCCACTATAAACTTGGAATTGCACTATCAAAATTATACACAAAAATTACTTCTAAACTGTGAAGTGTCCATTTGATATAGTCATTGCATATAGATCAATCCTCCATAAATAATTCATAATTAGAGCTAGGTAAAATCCGTTGACCTCTCTAATTAAATCTTTATCCTTCAGTCCCATTGATTCTCTAATGGACAGTGATTCATAAAACACATTCATGAATCGGAGCTCTTACTAGTCCAAGTACCGAATCAACCCTCAAGAGAATTATTTATCTACTTCTTTCTCAAGAAGGAATGGATTCCATCTCGTATAATAACATTCCCGGCTACCTACTTCATCATGTCTCCAAAATACAAAAAATAGGATTCAGGGTCTCAGAATCTGTACCGAGTAAATAAAAAAACACAAATTCATAAATAGGAGTCTGTTAAGAACTCAGGATT